AGGGCTCTCCACGAGATGGCCTGGCCCAGTGGCTGCGACGATGGGCTCAAAGATAATGATGATGAGGATGGTGCAGGACCGGTTGGTGCTTTGTTCTGTGGTGCACCGGGTTCCTGTGAGTCAGAGCTGACTTAGCAGCAGCTAATAACAGCGACATCTTTACAGGAGCCAACAACAGCCCAGTGAGCTGCGGCTGGTCTCAAACTGCTGACCTTGTGGTTAGCAGCTGAGTTTGTGTCCCATGAGGCTACCAGGGCTCCTGGCATCACCGTAGGTTTCTTATTTTTCTCTTCTCAACCTGCCTTTCTCAGAGCTGTTGCTGTCCGGTCGCACGCACCAAAGAAAGGACCCCGCCTGGCCCTGCGCCATCCTCGCCATCTGTCATGTTTGTGCCAACGGCTCAGCCAGGGCTGATCTGTTCAGTTTGCCATTGACCCAACCACAGGCTGCCACGATGCACCTTTACCTTGTCTTCCGTCTGTGGCGCAGTGGCCCCCAGTGCAGCAGTTAATGAGCTCGGCTGCTAACCACAAAGTTCGAGATTTGAGCCCATCCCAAGGTGCCTCAGACGATAGGCCTGGCCATCACCCAGTGAAAAAACAGCCTGCGATCCCCCCATGGAGCACAGCTCTGCCCTGACACACGCAGGCTCGCCACAAGGTGTTAGGCGCTGTCGAGTCGGCTCCGACCCACAGACACCCGGTGCACAACAGAACGAAACACTGCCCGGTCCTGCACCGTCCTCACAACTGTTCCTATGTCTGAGCCCATCGTTGCAGCGCTGTGTCCGTCCATCTCGTCGAGGGCCTTGCTCTGTTTCACTGCCCCCTGCCCCCACCCCCCGCTTTACCAAGCAGGATGTCCTTCTCCAGGGACGGCTCTCTCCTGACAACGTGTCTAAAGCATGTGAGATGAAGTCTCTCCTTCCTTGCCTGCAAGGAGCGCTCTGACCTTACTTCCAGGGCACATGGGTTGGGTGTGTCCTTGCAGCAGTCCACAGAACTTTCGGCAGTCTTCTCCAGCGCCACGATTCCGACGCATTGATTCTTCTACAGGCAATGAGACCAGGGCTCAGCGCAAGGGCACCTGAGTCCTCAAAGTGACATCCTCGCTCCTCACCTGAGCCTTCTGTTTCCCTCCAGCAAATCTCCATGTGGAACAAGACTTTAAATAAGACCAGCTTTATTTTACTTTACTGCTGCTGCTTCTTATAATCTGGGGAGAGCGCCCAAAGCAGTAAACATCTGGGCATTTTGCTTTGAGACGCTGTCTGTCGGTTTCCTTGCCGCCCCCTTGGGGTTGTGGCACTAATCTTCCCCCTCCCTCCTTGGGCCCCCCACTTCAGGTCCTCCTCCTTTCCCGCCCCTCCCTGCATTCTGAGATTTAGGGAAAATTGGTGCCCCTTTTGGCCTTACAAGATTGTTCCAAGGAGTGCCTTTGTCCCTGGAGGGACTAAGTGTCATTTCCTCTTTGGACTCACTCACTCATCCACCCACGCACTCAGCCACTCGCTCTGTCACTCATCCACTCGCTCACTCAGCCACTCACTCATCCACTCGCTCACTCAGCCACTCACTCACTCACTCATCCACTCGCTCACTCACTCATCCACTCGCTCACTCAGCCACTCACTCACTCACTCATTCACTCGTCCACCCACTCACTCACTCACTCACTCACTCACCCACTCACTCACTCACCCACTCACTCATCCACCCACTCACTCACCCGC